TTCCACGATAGGCATAAAGAGCGGCATTGTTGTCTGGCTGCTTTTAAAGTTTTAGAGCAGCAGATTTCAGATGTATTTCCTCACTAATAAGAAGGGCATACAGGTGATCTAGAGTGAGCGTATTTTGCATCGTTCGAATGGTTGTAGTGAATGACTGGTAAGACGGAGGTAGCCCATTTAGGATGTATAGAATCACATCTTCGGAATCTACCGTCGAGCCGGCCGAGGCGATTTGATCCATGATCTTCTTGATCTCAGTAAGATACTGAGTCATGGACAAATTTTGCATGGAAATGTTGTGAAGCTCGTTCTTGAGCTGAATAACCTTGGACCGATTGGTGGATTGGAACTGGACTTGCAGCGTCGATCAGATTTCATTTGTTGATTCAAGGTGAATCACATATGGCAAGATCTCCGGCGATATAGTAGAGCACATTGCCGTGGCAAGATTTTGATCCGTGATTCGCCAATTTGTGAAATCTTGATTTGGATGTGCGTTCTCGGCTTCCGATTTCGGATCAAGATACGCCGAGAAACCATTGGCTTTGAAGAGTTTCGCAATTTGGGTGCTCCAAATGGGGAAGTTGTCCGGGGTAAGAGAATGGGGAACAAGAAGTTTTAAGTTGGAGATAACGAACTTGAGTTCAGGAGAGATTGTCGGAATCGTCGGACCAGTATTGGCGCCGAGAGACGTTCCAGTTGATGAAGAAATGGCTTCTTGATTCGCCATGCGTAAGGTCCTCAGAAAACTGTTGAGCCTCTTGATACCATGAAGAAGCCAAAGACAGGGAGAACAGAGCTAAAGAACATAACAGAATATAATATGTATATTTGCTTATCCCACTGTTACAACAATGACAGATATATATAGTGTTTAAGTAAGATAATAAGTACACGTGTAAAGCTATGATTGGAAGCAAGATTGGTTATTTAAGTTTTCTGCTCTAACATATAGCAGCAGTTTTAACACCTACAAATCTAAAATGAAAAATAAAAGTTTCAGCGGCGATGACGGTTTCAACGATGTTGGTGGATTCAACGTCGAGACGAGCGAATGCCGACGAATGTAGAGGAATTGTAGATGAATTAGCAGATAATGGGTCGAATGGCTCGGTTAGGGCACAAAAAGGGAAAATATGTTCGTTTCTAGCAGCTGTGCAAATCGTTGTGTATATTGATCTATTACATCGTTTTACTAACCGCCGTTAATAAATGCTGTGAAAACTTCATATTTTTAGTAGCGGTTAATGTCTCTCATGTTATTCTCTTTTGCATACTATGATTGAGAAAACATGCAATCACATAACTGCCTGAATTTTTTAGCTATTTTAGAATTTAAATCGCTATCACCACTATCTAAATAATAATAATAATAATAATAATAATAATAATAATAATAATAATGCTAATTATAAATATCAGTTTTATGCCAACAAATCACGAAATAAAAAATAAAACTATGAAATGAAAGAAGAATTACTTTTGTTTGGCTTTATTTTTTAAAGTATTTTTTTTTAGTACAAAATCAATCTCAAATGATATGTACGTATTTATAAAATAAAGACCAAAGTTAACAAGCATAATACAACAATGATCAATTTTAAATTATACAACCAACATCTCTTCTTCTAATATTATTATATCAATATACTTTTAAATAATCTAACAAAAAAAAAAAATCAAAACTCTCACATATTTAAATAAATATAAATTAAAAGAGGCATTAATTAACCATGTGACAGTTGATGGGATCGTTTATATTAAACAATCAACAAAATTAATGGAATGAAAATGCTTCATTTACAATTCATTTTCATTCTCTTTAACACTTGAGTAAAATAAAATATTTATTTACAAATTAAATAAAGCAAAAAATGAAATAATTTACCCTGTAAAAGATTACTTGTGTCAATATAAGCCAATTTATCAGGAAATAAATTTTTCCCCCCTACAACATCCCGATTCTATGTACCCGAGCCCCCTCCCTTGAAAATGTATAGTTCGCTTGGAAAAACAAATAGCAGAGCGCTGCAGTGCTCAAGATCTGGCGTTGTCGTGTTGTTAGGCAAACTAGAGATAAAGCATTTAGCGTCGCGACGCTACAAATTGGTACTGCAATACTATGAGATATGCTGGACAATTTTTCTTAAGGTTGACATCCCTTGATAGTATGGATTGTGTCTCTTTATTTGTTCTTGTATAATAATGATGTATGAGAGAAATAAAGCAAGAATAGCGTGAACGAGTATCCCATATTTTCATAATGAATTTTTTTGTGTGGTGTGACTCCATTATTTTTTTTAAGATTTCGAATTTTCCCACATTAAATGCTGATGTTTGTTACTTTCTGCTCCATTTTTTTTATTCGTTGCATATTTTACTTCCACCCCCAACAATTAGTGACTTTAATTATAATTAAAAGAGGTTTTAATCATATTAAAACATTAATTCAGGCATTAGCATGAGAAGCAGACTTTTCACCAAGAAAGGTGGTGGAAAGCACATGGAAAACACGTTAAAACTCTTTTACTTCACCCAATTTGAACACATGGAAAACGCTAACACAGTATCATTCGATGCAGTTGCTTAGTTATTTCTCTTTACTTTTAGGCTGCAGCTAGTTTTTTCCTTTAATTATGAGAAATTATTCTGTGCGGATGTTGGACGCAGCTCTATGTTCGAATGCGAATCAGGTGCAGCCACGTCAACGGTACCGAGCCTTGGTACCGAGCGAAGGGGTGACATGACTCATTTTTGTTAGCCTCCGGACTGCGTTTGATATCCGCAAAGAATAATTTTTTTCTTATTCCTTGGACTGTTAATTTTATGAAAAATAAAATAAAATTTTTGTTAGAATTGGCTTAATTTTTTTTGTCACAATTATGTTATGTGTTTTATATAAGATGTTTATTTTGATGATTGTATATAAATATCTTATTATTTTATTATTTTTATATATTTCACAGTATCTATCATCATTATATTTTAATTATATAAAAACTTATCATTAATATATTTTGCCCTATTTAATTCTCCTTTTGTTTCACAATCCTTTATAAAATCCGAATGTTTATATGAGATAGATTGTTAACGTGATTTGTAAGTTTAAAGGGGTTTTTTATTGCTTTTAATAATATTTGTTCAATGACTTGGAAAATAGTCAAAACTTTTGTAAATATTGAGAGAGAATAAAATAGAAAGTAGTAAAAGAAGATTAGGATTTTTTTGAGACAATTTTCTTATTGCTTTTATAAAATAATTTTATAAAAATTTTATGTTTTAAAAAATTGTATTAATGTTTTTGAAGCAGTTTTTAGTATAATTTTTTTTAATTAGCAAAAAAGCAATGTTAAAAAACTTTCCCAAAAAAACTAAAAAAATAAAAAATTATAAGAATTTTATATAAATTCATAAAATTGATGATTACATGTTTTATAATAATTTGATTGGGGAGAAAAACACAATTTTTGTCTTCTAAAATATGCCTTGAGATTCGTGCAGGATACAAATTTTTGCGACGTATCAAGGTCAATTGGTTTATATGATTTATACCTCTAATGACTTCTTGATGCCTTTAATAATGTTTTGTCAAGGTGTCAAATATAGACAAAATCAAAAAATATACAGTGAAAAACTAGAAAATAGAAAAGATGATTATAACAGCACAGCACACAAGAATTGTATATAAATTCACTAAATTGATTGCAAGGTCAGGTTATTACATCACCTATATTGTATTAAGATTTTATTGTAGAGAAAAATATAAGTCTTGCATGTTTACATGAGATGCCCCCTTTTCATTAAAACATTGTCATCATCATTTTCATCATATTTTTATCATACTATGTGAGGTCTACTACATGAATCTTTTTTTTTTTCTATTATGTTCTATTAAGAGTCAAATTATCATTTGGATTTAATAAAAAAAATATCATTTTTAATATGTTCAAGCCAAGTCTTTTTAGGTATATCTCTGCCTTTCTTAACATAGGCTAAAATGTAATACATCTACTCTCCAAATCAGGTCATCAAAAGACCGATGTTTTATGTGTCCAAATCATCTAAGCTCACTCTAATCTTACAAAAGATGCCCCTTTTTCGTTATAGACCAGCTAAAAACACAGTGAAATTTTGAGAGCATCCTTGATAAAAAAGTTTAGACTCTTGATTTGGGTACTTTTTGGGCAAGGCTGGACCTTTTTTGATGTCATTGGATTCATTTTGTCGAGATGCTCAGATTAATTATAAGTTTGTTGAAATTAGAGTTTGGATCGTCCTGTGTTTAACTATGAAAGTTTCTAATTAAAAATTGCAGTGAAATTCGTGTGGATCAAGCCGGTTTTTTGTGATGTATCAAACATAATTATAAGTATTAAATACATCCGGTGAGCTCCTTGTTTTTATTCCAACCCTTGCAACTACTTTGCATTGATTTTTTTTTTGGCTTTTGTTGGGTTATGTGAGTGTTGGGGCTGGTTCAATGGTTTATTTGATTGTTGTGGACTATCGTATGGGTGGTTCTCAGTCGCCTTTTTCACTTGTCTTTATTTTTTTTGTATTTTTGCAGGTTTTCAGCAGTTGATGTCACTCTCTGTTAGTTGTGTTACTTATGCTGCTTTCTTATTCTAGTTTATTTCCTTTTTTCCTTATGATATTATCCCTTTAGTTTCACGTTTGTCTTTTGTATTTAATTGATTCATTAGCTCATAGGTTTTAATTAAAAAGTAGTATTTTAGAGAGCTTTTGATTCATTAAGGACGTGTACTATTTTTCATTTGTGAAGCACGTAAGCCCCTATGTAGGTGCTCTCCAAAAATAGAAATAAAAAATATTCAAATATTCATTTAATTTCTCATTAAAAAAGATTAAATATTTATTTTTTAACATTAAAAAAAAAGAAATTGGTCACTAATAAATACATGAAATTTAACTTTGCCCAGCTATTCCAGTCAACCCTTGGTTAAGAATAATCAATCTCTCCGCGCGCAATGGCATGTGATCCGGTTGAATTTTTTTATTCTTTTTCCTCTCAAACTTTTTAATTCTGATCTCTCCCCTCTTAAAAACCCCCTCTCCACAACCACTTTCACATTCCTCTAATCATCACCTCTCTCCTCCCTCATGGAGCAATCACTCCCCCATCAATGCCAATCGCTTCTCTCTCCCTCCTCCTCCTCCTCCTCCTCCTCCTCCTGCTCCTCCTCTTCCTCCTCCCCAAAGCCCGAAGAATCCATCAAGCCCAAAAAGCGAAGCAGAGAGGGCAAGCACCCGACATACCGCGGCGTGCGCATGCGCAATTGGGGCAAATGGGTTTCTGAAATCCGCGAGCCGAAGAAGAAATCGCGCATCTGGCTCGGCACTTTTCCCACCGCCGAGATGGCAGCGCGCGCGCACGATGTGGCTTCGTTGACCATCAAAGGGCAATCCGCCTATCTGAATTTCCCTCATCTCGCCGCCGAATTCCCTCGCCCCGCCACCACCTCCCCTAAAGACATCCAAGCCGCCGCCGCCAAGGCGGCTGCTTTCACCGACCACCAAGCAGCGCTACCAAAGCCCACGCCTCCTCCAATCACGCCGCCATCCACAACTGATGAAGACTCTGCATTTCTCGACCTTCCTGATCTCCTCGACTTGAGAGCAAGCTGGGTTTCGTTGTGGACTGATGAGCTGAATTCCAGATTCGTTTGGGAGTATTAAATCATCATTACTGCATAGATTATATATAAACGATTAAATGTACATTAATGTGGTTGTGATCTGTTCAAAGTTCTGTTTTTTTTTTCTTTTGCTGGGTTGGGAGATGGAGCTTCTAATTGAATGAGTTGATGATGTGCTTTTTATCGTAATCTTTTGTTTATTGAAAGTTAATCTTCCACCAATAAAAGAAGAAGGTTACTTTGGGATTTATAAAGGAGAAAGGACAAAAATTTGTTCCCTTGTTGGTAATAAAGAAGATTTTGATGATTGATTAATCCATATTCGCTGGAAACGTATGAGATTTTTGTGGTTAGTGCAAGATAATTAATTATATCGCAGGTTCTTTGTTAATTAACTATGGTTACAATAGTCCTTAATTTCTTGACTGCAAATGATCGAGAACTGATGGAGAGGGCTCCTCTGAATTTTCAGCGCATGGTTTATGGCGTGAAATTGCATAAGTAACTTCAGATAAAAATAATAATAATAAGAGAGAGAATTTTGAAGTGGCCGGAAGCTATTAGTTTTGTGTGGAATCTTATTGTGTCTATTAATGTGATCGTACTATTATCTCAGATCTAAATATCATCAGTAAAGTTTATCGTAGAGTTGCAGGAGGGGCACGATCCCCATGCATGGGGGTTGGGGGCCTTGGTTAAACATTAAAATTATTTTTTTTTGTGCAAGCACCGCAGCGTTTTATGATGGAGCACTGTAGCACTCCATATTTGATGTTTCCACATTAAGTTATGATGTTCATTTTTGCTATTTTATTTTCTTGTTTATTTAGTTGAGTACTTTTCTGTTTGATTTATAATGATAAAAATATTATAATTATGAAAAAAATATTATACAACAACTTCTTAGATTCTTAACTTTGATTACGGGCATTTTTTGATTGATTGAAAGAGAAAGTTTGAAATCGAAGTGATGAAGAGAAAGGAATTTTGAACATGATTTAGTGGAAAGCAGTTCTCATAATTAATGTGCACACATATGCATGTGAATATGATTGATCAAATCAATTGATAAGTTTCAATTGAAATTTTCAACTTGCTCGTCATGCATTGGCTTCTTTTGCTCATAACTCATCAAGTTTAGGTTGTCCAAAGCTTTGAATCACCAACTATACTTGCCTAGAATATCGTTACTGTACTTATTAATAATGAAGAGTTCTCAGAATAAGAATTGTTACTCACTACAAGAATAACTATATTATATATGCATACATCATGATTATTAACTATGTACTCGACTCTATGTCCGAATAAAGAAAAAAAGAAAGAAAGTGGTACTAAGTTATCATGAATCAATTCATTTATGTCAAATTTCTTCGTGATGCAATTTTTTCTAAGTGAGGGATCCAATTGTATAGTTCATTTGTAGGCAGTTTGGAGGATTACAACTATGACTATTGCTTTCTAATTAGTTGTTTTGTATTAATTGTAACTTCATTATTATTATTGATTAGCGTACCCGTTGTATTTGCTTCTTATGATAGTTGGTCAACTAACAAAATAGTTGTATCTTCTGGCACATCATTATGAATTAAATTAGTTTTTCTGGTTGCTATCATGAATTTTCTCATCTCTTAAACTTCTTTCGTATATGTTCCTGATTGGTTAAAAAAGAGATTTGTTGTCTCTTACCCTATTTTTTAGGCTTGATTTTCTATTTATCAGCGAACAACATAAAAAACATAGAAAGATAGACTTACTTTCGTCCCGTTAGGTAGCATCAATACCTTCGGTTATGTACCATTGATCAAGATTAACATGCATAAATATTGAATTACTAGTCATATAGATATATACAAATTTAGGGTATGACATGAAGTTATTATATGCTTTTCTAGCTATGACTCTACCCTAAGTGATTTTCGAAAGCTTATTTGTCTAGAATCTCAATAACACTGATTTAATGCATCATTTTTTTTTTGTAAGATATCAATCAAATCTTTTATAATTCTATTAAACAAAAGATAACATAAAATTTCTAATTTTTTTCTATTGTGTCCTTTCTAATTTTGTCCGAGACTTAAATATCTAACGAACATTTTTATATAACTCTAAATAATACTAAATTAACAAAATTTTATATTTTTAGTATGTCAAATTCTATTTTTAGGAGGAATGCAATATGAAAAGTTAGTGGGCCAAACATAACAAAATATTGATGTTAAATAGTTAAAAAAATAATGTCAAATCAATGTTGAATTAAATAGGTGTAAAGAATAAAAGAATATTTATCTTTGTGGACCTATGGAGGTCATTTCAGGTTAACAAAAAAGTGATAATAAACAGATTTTTTTATTACTCGCTAATATATCAGCTAGCTTAACTTTCACAAAAGCGTGCGTTCGTATTTCTTTATTAATTTTTTGGCAAATAAAAATTTTCCACATAATTTTTAAACTTTCGAAGAAGGCGAGGAATATTAGGCTCCCTCCTATAACATAAATGAAGGGAAAAAAATTTAAATAGTGAGTCGAGTGAAGGACACTGAGTAATCTCCCTTTGTCTGCCTTTCCTTATCAAAGCTATAAAATTTTAAAATATCTATAAGTTATTAGATTATAAGATAAATTTCATATTACAATAAAATAATTCTTACAAAATGTTATTCAATAAATCGTAAAATAAAATTAAAATATTGTATGTTTATTTGGTATAATTAAATATGTCATATGTTGATATAGGATATGGATAAAAAATTTCTCATAAAGGAAAATATATATATGTTAGAATAAAAGGAAATTTATTCAAAAGACAACATAATTGAAATTATTGTATGACAGAAAATTCACAGAGAGAGAGAGATTTACATCCAATTTTGCACATACTGATAAAAAAGAAGAACGTAGAAAACACTGAAGTTTTGGCGTGGAATACCTAAGAAGGAAAAAAAAATCACAGGGCTTAGTACAATTAAAATAATGTGCTATATTTTTAAAGTTACATAAGTTTACTCTTCTTTACAATGGAAAAAGAAGGGATTACAAAATTAGGAGTACTTGCTTGGTCTCATGTAAAGAGTATTTGTAATCTCTTGGTTGCTCTCACTTTTTTATTAGGGAAGTTAATTAATTTCTTAGGGTGAATTTTTATATTTGGTTGTTGACTATTCAAATTACTCTCTATGGATGTAGATAAGCTCATTAGTAGTTTTTGCGTCCTGGAATATTCACGGTGATAGAGATATATAAAGTTTAACGTCTTAGCTTTGTGCGAAAATTCAACACATAAACAAATGAAAGATAAAGGTGTATAATTCATAAAAGACATCGACATGAAAACCCCTAAAAAGGGGTAAAAATCACAGGAGCTGTCCTAGTTTGAATGAATCCACTATTGTTTGGAGTTGATTACAAAGGAGGCCCTTTATGGGATGGAAAACCTTGACTTGATGTAGTAAATATATATCATATATAGTGCATTACATGGTGGGAGTTGGAAGAATCAATATTTGCATGTTTTTTTTTGTTTATCAAATAATTTTTATGATTTGGCATGAATCTTGAGGAAAATTTGAATTGAAACTTTCAAAATTAAATATGCCTGTTTACTATGATCCTGCTGACCAAACAAACATATCATTACTGATGCATTCAACTCCCACCATGTAATGCTCTCTATATAATATATATTTGCTACATCAAGTCAATGTCTTCCCCACCCAAGGAAGGGTCACATTTGTAATCAACTGCATACACTAGTGGATTCATACAAATTGGGCTAGGCCCAGTGATTTTTCTCTATTTTTAGGACTTTTCACGTCAGAACTCTGGTGTCTCTTATGAATGTTACATATCTATCTTTCATATGTTTGTGTGCTGGATCTTCTTAGAAAGCTAAGATGTTAAACTTTATATCTCTCTACTATCACGAATATTCTATGACGCAATAATAGTTATTTATATTTTTAATTGATGAATAAGATTAACATAGGAGTGAATTGTCTCTTGTATCATTGAAAAAATAGAAAGATCAAGAATAAATATACCCAAGAAAAACACCTTATAATAACTCTTAATCCACTCTTGAGATTTAACTTTCTTCAAAAGAAAATATTTGAAAGCACACTTTAAGGGCCTCTCTATCTTTTTGGCAAATCCTCAAAATATAGGAGTCCTTGATGTTCTTTTGGTTTATAATAAATAGTTTCACAAAAAAATTAGTAAGATGAGCAAAGTTATTGATAATATTACTAGAAAGTGAGTAAAACTAGGTGCGTATTGAACCTTAAGAGTAGTAAGGAGGTCCTATCATGTAAGTGCAATAGAAGATTGTTAGATGTGCATGATGATTCTATAGTAATTAATATACTATAAGGATCAAAATTTTCATCATAATAATCAATTGTTGGTAACTTGAACTCCACTAAAATAGGATGCTAAAAATCTCATCAGTTAGATGTGAAAATTCTTCAAAGCTATGGTGAGATCAAATTTTATCTCTTATAATATCATGAAAGTCATCAATTAGGTGAGGATGATTTAAGTCTGCCAAGGTGCCAAAAGATTACAAGTTAGTCGAATAGCATGGAAAGGTTGAGTTAAATTGATAGTGTATAAAAAGCTTCGATGAGACTGTGGTAGAGGAGCTACTGCATGACAATGAGGTGGTATTGTATGGATGGCATCAAATTGATCAACCTCAAACTATATATATTTTGTGGCGGCAGAACTTCATCTTATTATTATTGCGCTTTGTTGTTCAATCCCCCCTAAAACTTATTAGCTTAAAATTCTTTCATCTTATGCATATGATCTTATAAAATAAGGCATAAGTGGCATTCATCAATTGGGATTGTGATGATCTTAATTGAAAAATAAAAGTTTCAGCTATTAAAAAATATATTTACAGTATGTTGGGAAATATATTTCACATAAAACGCTAAATTATAATGTGCTAGAAAAATCATGGCAATAGAGAGAGCTTTGCATCCTAAATTTGCATGAAGATCCAATACTCACACATGCATGGACAAAAAAGAAGAATTTAAGAGACATTAGAGTTTCTATGTGGACAAACAACATGGGATAGAGAAAAATCTTGGTAATTAGCCTAGTTGAAATAATTTACCATGTACTTGAAGTTATAGAAATTTGCTATTCATCATCTGGAGTATATGAAATTACAAAATTGAGAGCAGTTACGTGTTATCCTATGATCATTGCAGAGATTATGTGAGAAGCAGTTGAGGGATGA